GGTGTAAGTGTGGGTGTGGGTGTGGCTGGGGTGTAAGTGTGGGTGTGTGGTGTGGGTACGAGTGAGGAGTGAGTGGGGTGTGGGTGTGTTAAGAGAATACGTACCCATACCCATACCCACATCCACACCCACACCCCACACCCCACACCCTCACCCCACATCCCCACACCCACATCCACACCCACACCCACCCACACCCACCCACATCTACACCCACACCCATACTCACACCCATACCCACACCCATACTCACATCCACACACCCACACCCAGCAATAATTAAAGCTTTTTTGGCAGGAGTTCGAAATTTTATTAAATCAATTGACCTAAATTTACAAAAAGGACTAGATAAAAATGTTAAATGTAAACCCGAACAAATGCTTCTATCTCTCGTCGACATATTGGACACGATCGTAATGAATGACCACACGGGACACATGTAGCGAGATGTCCACATGGAATACAAGCGAGACGTTTCTCTTCACTCATGCATAGTGCACAAAGGTGTGTTAACGTGGTAGCAGTTGTTTGCATGGCCTCTGAAGATGTTATTGTAGGATTTGACTTTGTTGCTGTTGTAGAATCCCTGGAATCTGATTCGATGTTTGATGATTGCGATGATAAACTCATTTCGACATTAGAACTATCCGATGGAGCTGCCGCGAGCGATCTCACAGGCGATGAAATCGATGCAGATACAGCAGCAGGTGCTTCTAGACAATAGTTGCATCACAGTTGTTGTCTATATATTACTTTTTTTCTCGGAACTTACCAGCTTGTTCTCTCTCACAAATCTGTCTCATTCGTACACTTGGTACAATGATATTTTCCTTTTTGCCATTAATATGATCTATTTGCTTTTGTAGAATAGTACAAGCCATTAGTAGATCACTATCAGTTTCAAAATCATCGTCTAAAATAAGAAAATTAAACAATTAACAAATGAATGTTCTTTATATGTTATATAGAAGATATTTCAACATACGTTTTAATCGCAACTGATCTTCCCAGCATCGTTTGATTATCGATAATTTAAAATTTTGATCCAACAATCGTTGGGAAATCGGCAAATCCAAACGAGCAGCGACAAAACGTGATAATGTAGTTTCATCAGTTATTTGTAATTTTTGAGTATTCGGATTCGGATTACTCGTCGGATCATTAGCTCTAGCGCGCTCTAGAACAAAAATAGACAGCGTCATTTATGCATCGTCTTTTGAAAACCGAATGAAAATAATTCTAACATGGCATCTTTAGCCAGGTATTTTTGAATCATTTTCAATTGAACAATTTGATGATTTTCACATCAGAGATGCCAGACTGGCTTGATGACCTCGGCAGACCGTCTGGCCTAGTAACCAGGCCAGGCCAGGCTGAAATAAGTGGCCTGTTGGCATTCTCTGTTTCACATACCTTGTACAGCTCGTTTTGATTCCTGAATTTTTCGATAGAGATCATCTCCGCAAAGTTGTTTGGCATAGGCACAGTGAGGAAACCATCTCGCATGCTCAATCGTTGGATTATCGTTTGCACCCCAGTTTTGAAGCGATCCATTGCAATAAAAGCAAGTGACAATAGTTTTATTGCCTGTGTAGAAGAAGCCGGCACGAACAAGATCATCTACAGCAGGCAAAGGTTCTTTAGGCCAATTAGCAAATGTTGCGTGCCGCTTCGGTATTTCTATAAAAGCACTATGGCAAGCCGCTGTAATCACGATTTCATTCGAACGAATTGTATTGGCAGCAGCATTTACTGATGAACAGTTGCTAGAGAAATTTTCGTTCACGATCAATGTAGATGTTGTTTCACGTCGTATTAACTTGCCCATTACATAGGGACACTTGGGTGATAGTGTTTTATGTATTTCGCATGGATCATCTGCATGTGGTGTCCACTGTTGACAAATGATGTTACAATAGAGACAGATCACTCGATCGCCAACATTACAGTTGAAAAATCCAGCATCGATCATTTGTGCTCGAGATGGTGAATCTCGATGTGGCCAGTTGGAGAAAGTGCGACAGCGTACTTGTTTAAGCGTATCTACTTCTGTAAATGTATATGAATGAGTTATGTAATTCGATATTTCAACTTTTTGGCGTTTGGAAGGTGTCTCTTGTCCACTTAAATTTGAAGTTATTTTACTTTGCAGAGTCACTAGTGCTGGCAGCATAGACAGCTGGGAGACTATCTTAGATGATCGTATAGAACGGACAAATGGACAGTTTGGACTGCGTTCCAAGTGAATAGAGAACGGATTCATATCGAGCGTCCAATCAGCGACTTCCAATTGACAGTTATCGCACCGAACTATATCCCTAACAAAAGTATATCTAAACCCAGCTGCTTGCATAGCATTTACCGAATGAACACCTGGCGTTGTGGAGAAAGTTCGGCACAATTCCAAAGTTTTACGACATTTATCCAGATACGATTGTCTCGATTTAATACTACTGGATACCAGTAAGTTCGACGGAATCCTATCAGGACTGTTCGAAGTATAGAAGTCTGATCCGATTGGGCTTTCACAACTTCCAACAGAATCTCCTCGGACTTTGTCGGATGTAGACGATATTAAACTAGATCCTTCAGGGCCATTACAATCGGATTGCTTGCTTTGGATAGGAGAATTTATCGGCGAGAGATTTCCTTGTGAGTTGATACTAGGTTGATCTTGTGGTAAGTGTAATGATTTTTTAGTATCTGGTGTCGAAGAGTCATTTCTTATTTTGTTCACTAAGATCTGATGATTGGTCTCAGAAACAAGCGGGTTGAGTATCATCTTTTACAATAAACTTATAAGCCGCAGTGATGGAAGGAATATGAGGAGCATAGAATAAATCTACGAACGAGACTCTTATCTAAAAATGTTCATAGACACTCATGAGCATTATGTGTCATCTTTCTTGTACAAAG